AAATCAAAAAATCAGAAATGAAAAAGAAGCTAGAACAGATACCATTGAAATACAAAGGATCATAAGAGACTACTATATGCAAATAAAATGGACAATCTGGAATAAATGAACAGATCCTTTAAAAGGTACAATCTCCCAAGACTGAACTAGGAAGAGACAGAAAATATTAACAGACCAATCACAAGTACTGAAACTGTGATTAAAAAACTCCCAACAAAAGTTCAGGACCAGACGGCTTCACAGGAGAATTCTACCAAACATTTAGAGAAGAATTAACACCTACACTTCTAAAACTATTCCAAAACACTGCAGAGAAAGGAATACTTCCAAATGCATTCTTCAGGCCACCATCACCCTGATTACCAAAGCCAAAGATCACACACACACACACAAAAGACCAACATCACTGATGAGCGAACACAGATGCAAAAATCATCAAAATACTAGCAATCTGAACCCAACAACACATTAAAAGGATTATACAACATCATCAAGTGGGATTATCCTAGGGATGCACAGATTTTTCAATATCTGGAAATTAACAGGATGATACACCATGACAACAAACTTAAGAATAAAAACCATAGGATCATCTCAAGAGATGCAGAAAAAGCTTTTGACAAGAGTCAACATTTAAGATAAAAAACTCCAGAAAGTGGGTGTACAGGGAACATGTCTCAACATAAAAAAGGCCATGTATGAGAAACCTACAGCTAACATCATACTCAACAGTGAAAATCTGAAAGCATTTCCTCTAAGATCAGGAACAAGCCAAGGTGTCCACTCTTGCCACTGTTGCTCAATAAAGTTTTGGAAGTCCTAGCCACAGCAATCAGAGAAGAAAAAGAAATAAAAGAAATCCAAGCTGGAAAAGTAGGAGGAAAACTTCGACAGGAAAAGTCACTGTCGGCAGACGAAATACTACTACACACAGAAAATCCTAAAGATGGTACCAGAAAATTACCAGATTTTATCAATGAGTTTGGTAAAGTTGCAGGATACAAAATTGATACATAGAAGAAAAATGGAGATGGAGGAATCAGGTCCCTGATTTCTGACTATACTACAAAGTGACACTAATCAGGATACTATGGTACTGGCACAAAAACAGAAATATAGACCAATAGAACAGGAGAGAAAGCTCAGAAACAAATCCACAGTAAAAATACAAAAAAGCAAAGACAGTCACTTCAATAAGCAGTGCTGGGAAAAATGGAGAGCTACACATAAAAGAATAAAACAACATTTTGTAACACCGTTCACAAAAATAAACTCAAAATGGATTAAAGACCTCAATGTAAGAGTGATACTATAAAACTCTTAAGAGGAAAACATAGGCAGAACATCCTTTAACATAAACTGTAGCAAATATCTTTTTGGATCCACATACTAATGAAAATTTTAAAAAATAAACAAATGAGACCTAATTAGACTTAAAAACTTGCACAGAAAAGGAAACCATAAGCAAAGTGAAAAGAGAACATTTACTGAATGGGAGAATATATTTGTAAAGGAAAAGCCCAATAAAAGATTAATCTCCGAAATACAAAATATACAAACACCTCGTGTAGCTCAAAAAACCAACCAAAACACCACACACAACCCAATTAAAAAATAGGCACAAGATCTAAGTAGACATTTCTCCAAAGAAAACATACAGATATCCAGACAGCACATGAAAACAGGCTCAACAATGCTAATTATTAGAGAAATACAAGTCAAAATTACAATGAGGTTATCAGCTCACACTGGTCAGAATGGCCATGATCAAAGTCGATAAAGAACAAAGGTGGAGAAAAGGGAACCCTCCTGCGCTGTCTGTGGGCACGCACGTTGGCACAAACACTACGGAGAACAGCATGAGTGAGTGAGCGGTGGCCTGTCAGTCCTGTCTGACTCGGTGCAACCCTATGGACTGTACCCTACCAGGCTCCTTTGTCCATGGAATTCTCCAGAGAAGAATACTGGAGTGGTCTGCCATTTCCTCCTCCAGGAGAATGGCATAGAGATTCTTTAAAATGCTAAAAATAGAACTACTATAAGATCCAGCAATCTTGCTCTTGGGTATACATCTGAAGAAAACCATAATTCAAAAAGATGCAAATACCCCAGTGTTCACTGCAGCACTATTTACAATAGCCAAGATATGGAAGCAACCAAAATGTCCATTAATGGAGGAATGGATAAAAAACATGCCACGCATCTGTCCGTGGGATTTCCCAGGCAAGAAAAATGGAGCCGGTTACCATTTCCTACTCCAAGGGATCTTCCTGACCCAGGGATCAAACCTAAGTCTCCTCCACTGGCAAGTGGATTCTTTACCACTGAGCCACCACGGGAGCCCAAAAAAGACATTAGCAAGTATCAATGAGAACACTGACAAATTAGAACCTTCACATTCTACTGGTTAGAATGTAAAATGGTGTAATAGCTCTGGAAAACAGCTTACTTTCTTAAAACATTAACATAAAAGTTGGGATATAATTCAGTGGCTTCACTTCTAGAAATCTACACAAGAGAAGTGAAAACATATGTCCACACGAAGCCTGGTCTGTGGACATTCACAGCAGTACTGCTACTAACAAGGCAAACAGGGCAAATCCAAATGCTCTCCAGAGAATACTATTCAGCAATAAACAGGAACAAAATACTGATACAGCCTGCAATATGGATCAACTTCAAACACAAACTAAAAGAAGCCTGAGGCAGAATACACAGTGCATAATTCCATTTACATAAAATATCCAGAAAAAGCAGCAAAATAAGTTTCTAACTAAACTACTGAGATTGAGCACCAATATATTCCAGTATTTTACATCTTACAACATCAGCGACCATCACCTTGCCTTAAATTTCAAAATTTTTACTTGATACAGTTTCGACCAGAGAAATATTATATTAGTTAAGAAGCTCATCAGTGCCCAGCACATGTCTAGTTTATATGCAGTTAAATGCTTTGTTAATCTCTCTCCTGTTGTTTGACTTGGTCCATTTTAATTCACTTAATATCCACACTCAAAATGAGAAAGGCAGGAGAACATAACTATCAAATTCTGTAGTATGCCCATTAACAGCGATAGAGCTTAAGTAACAAAACACTTTAAAAAATAGTCTTTCAGCAATCCATAGAACTAGGAGTTGGCTATAAAAACAAGACTCATTCTAGGGCTTTTCTGGTAGCTCAGTGGTAAAGAATCTGCTTGCCAATGCCAGAGACACGGGTTTGATCCCTGGTCTGGGAAGAGCCTGCGTGCCATAACTACTGAGGCCCGTGCACCCGAGAGCTCGTGCTCCACGTGAGAAACCACAGTGGTGAGCGGCCCCTGCTCCACGACTAGAGAGCGGCCTGCACAGCAACAAAGACCCAGCACAGCCAACAATATACAGAAAATTATATATATATATAAAAGATTCATTCTAATTTCTCCCAACTCCCTTAAGAAACAGGAAAAGATACTATATCCCAGGAACTAGAGAAATAAGAGTAAATAGACAACAGCCTTCTAAGAGCGTATGTGTTTGAAGTTTATTGCTTCTAAACTCTGCATTTGTTTTGACAACAGAATGACATTTTGTTTTCAGTGTAGTATCCATACTCCTTCTGGCAATTAGCAGAGTTCTAAAGACCTCAAACTACAACTGAATTTTGAGGTTAAGAATTTTAAAAAAGGAAAGAGGTTAAAGAAGGTTCAGAAAATCTGTAAAATTTGTAAAAAAGAAATTCTAACTAGTCCAGCAAAGAGCTATTTTGTAAAATAAGGTATCTTCCTGCATTTTATGTTTTTCCCTAAGACTGGTCAATACTGTGCATTTTAAACTGTAATACTGAGATTCAACAAAAGATAAAGTGGGGAATCTTAAAAGGTATATTTCACACTTTAATTAGAAAATTCATAAGAAACGGTGCTAAAAACCAAGAAAGAAGTTAAGCATGCTTCTATACCTGTTTCAACCTTAACTGCAAAACTGATGAAGACCCCAGTTACCCCAAGTGTAACAAAAGACATGCTTTAATCCTGTTTAAGGTACATTAACATATACACATAGAAGTTCGGAACTCAAAAGTAAAGAGACACGTATTCAGTTATGTATTCAACACCGTCAGTGGTAAGATGTGCAATCAAAGAAAGAGTGGAAATCAGTGTTCTAAGGACTGGACTGACTAGGATTACTATTCTGTCCCACTAGAGATAGGTGGTCCCTCTTTTCTGTTACTTATGATAACTCTGTACTAAATGAAGCAGCTGAGATACTTCATAGAAAGAATTATTGTTACCAAGGGCAAATCTTTAAGCCCTTCACAGTTTATTAAGCTTTCACACATGCCATATCATCTGACTTCCACAACCACTTAATATCATTACTACTTGATTCAATACTACACAGTAACCGCTTCTTGGAAGCATTTATCAACAAAGTTATGTTTATTATTATAAATAAGTATTAGCTGTGAAGCTAATGAGAGGGGAAAATATTATAAAGACTTAAAAGTCAACGAAACCACTCATCAGGAATTATATAAAAAGGACAGTCTCTATCCTGTCTCTTCCTCTTTCGGCCCCTACCACCTTTATCCTTTATTTTTTAGAGACAAACTTAGGACACTCCTAGCCCACACTAAGGGATGACTCATCACCTGGCTACCAGGAAAATGAGGTTAAAGGCTCTGGAATTATTCAGCCGGAGAAAAACAGATTTAACAACTGACTCTATATGTTGTATTGAGGAAAGGTTCCGTTGTATTGAGGAAAGTGATAAGGTGTTTTACAAAATTAAAACAGGACATGAGTTTACGTTTGCTACTGATAAAAGTACTACAGAAAAACCATTACAATTTTTCTGACAGTGAAAATTTATGAGTAAAATGCTTAAGGACCTTTATTTAAAAGGATTTTTGTAAGCAGGATAATTTCCTATTAAATGAAGTCATCTAAGCAAAGCTTCTGCTGTTTCAACACTTTGAAAGGAACAAGCCAAGGAAGGCTTAACTCTAACATTACCACTGGAGCCAATCGGGGTCTGGGTGCCCGCCCTTCACTGTTCTCTGGAGGCTGGGTCACACCGTCAGGGTGTGAAGAAGGTGTTGTAGGAAGCTGAGAGCTGGCTGCAAGGTGCTGAGATAATTCTTTTTTGTGGCTCTTCTCTGATCCATCCAATCTGCTACTTCTCTCTATGGCAATCAGGTCACGGATTTTTTGCAGCTGCTCCACTGAAGCTTTTTTAGGAAAGATAAGATGTGTTTCTCCCTGGAATTTAAAAAATTAGGGAAATATATATGAAATGGAGCCAACACTATAGAACACATCATACTTTAACAATCATTCTCTTTGTACCATTACGGCACTTTAAAAAAAAATTACAGGAAAAGGTATACCAGAAAATTAAGAAAATCTGTCTCCTTTTTAGCATCAGATGTTTAGCCTAACTTATTGGTTCAAAAGACCTTTAAAAATATTCTATCTTTTAGGAATACTGTAATAAGTCAGAAAGCCTCCTAAAGACTGCAAAAAAAGCACATTCCTATCTTCTCTGTAATAGGATATGATACAACTATTCTCCATGAAATTTCCTACAAGATCACTGGTCACATAAAACGAATAAGAAGTTATATAACAACCTTTGAATCTTCTCAAGTCTTTAAGAATAGCTGCATGATTAGAAGTCTATGGGGTCCACTAATTCTTCCAAAGTAACAAAAATTATACCCTGACGGTCATTTCAAAACTACAGATTGCTGTTTAGTAATACAAAGGTGATCCAAACAAACAAACAATAAAAATCCAATTCTTTTAAGAAGTGATTCATTTTAAGAATTCACATAATACAGAGTGCTCTAAGGTACAATCAACATTACAACAAAGCTCACAATGTAAAACAGTCAGCAAATTACAAAACAAAAAGTAAAATGAAAACATATTCAATCAAGGTTTTAGGTGTCAAGAACCAAGAGCATTAAAACCAAGAGCATTGTCAACTGCAAATAGGAGAAAACAGTTGTAATATGCAGCAGACCAATCTGCAGATCATGAGCATTTAAACTAAACTCCACAACTGAGAATGACTGTATTTCTCTGCTGATGGCAGAGCTACAGGAATCAACGGACCAAGACCTTACTCAATAATGACATGAAAGATCAATTCCAAGTGAATCCTTTTTAAAAAGCTGGGACAGGCCAGCGATCTCCATATATTACCCAAAATAGCCGTTAAGAAAGATCACTATCATTTATTGCATTTACGTGTTTCTAGGTATTGTGCACATATTACCTAAAGAATTCTTATAGCCACCTTGAAAGGTAGGTACTAGGTTTAGCCCCGCTTTTCATATGAAAATATGAAGGCTCAGAGAAATTAAATAACCTGCTTGATGTTCCGATGTCAGTGAAAGGATTCACACAACCGTAATTGCTATGCTGTAACCACCTCTATCTGAGACTGAACAGAGGTCAAATCCCACAGCCTGTACAAACAGGTGGAAGGTAGAGGAAAGTATCACGACAGTTGCGATGATCACACACGTGATGACTGGCACAGACTGGAACACACTGATCTCCCAACATGAGAAAGGAACCACCTCCTATCTAGGACAACGTCTGGAAAGAGAAGCCGGATGCCTGGTTTAAAACCAAACAGGGAGGCCTCTGATCTTGCACAGTGCGGGGCAACACAGAGGAAAGCAGATGACGCCATGGGCAGGCAAAGGGGAGCCCCGCAGGCAGCGGTCTGCCTGGGCCACAGCTCAGAGAGGCCCCCCCTAATCCGGTGGGGGGTGCCGTCCCTTCCATCTTCTCAGGACCAGTCCTGAAAGAATGTGTGGTTATCAACCAAGTGTCTGTACCAAAAAGTTTAATCAACAGCACTGCAGTTTCATAAAAGGACAAAACTACAGGCTTAACGCATGAGATCAAACATTTTAAGAAACCAACCAGGATTCCACTGTTTGACAAAATCTGTGTTTCTCAACACATTCTTGCTGAGACGATTCTCACTGCTGGCTGTGAGTCAACCCTGTCCCTGCCCAATAAATGCTGGTGACATCTTCCAGTCACCCAGACAACCGAAACCATGATGCCCACTCCTCCCTGGGGGTGGGTACGGCTCCTGGTGAGAACCACTCCACTAAGCTGGCCTGATGGGTCACCCACCCTGTGAATCACTGTCTTTCTCCACCTCCTCCTCAGAATTTTCATAAAAAAGAATAGTCTCAGTCAAGTGAGTCCAAAGCTGTCAGGATTTTAATGAACAACTGAAAATTTCAGGATAGGTCTTGGATTCCCACTGCATCTCAAAGCCTACCAAGTTTCTTTCTGAAGGCAAAGTTCAGTTTCAGTTCTACTGGCTAACACTGATAAAACATTTACTTCTACAGGTTCTAAAGTGTGAAATTCAAAGCCAGCCAGTAACTCTAAACATAAATTAGTCTGAAAACAGGATAGTCTTATCTGAGATTGTGATTCCGTTTGTGTCGAATACTATTCCAAGTCTCAACCTGGCTTGTCACCTGGTACTGGTATAACCAACCCACAACAAGTCCACCTGGGGTGGAGGGGTTGTGTGCGGTATGGGATTTCACTGCTAAAACCAGCACATTACCAGGCAACTGCAACAGCTGGCCACCTCTCCTGGAACTCAAATATCTGCTGAATGAAAGATAAATCTGATTCCACTGAATCTTTAACAATAAAATCTAACAATAAAAAACTAGTCATCTCCAGTTGTCATTTACTTAAAGTGAAAGTCGCTCAGTTGTGTCTGATTCTGCGACCCCATACAGTCCTTGGGATTCTCCAGGCAGGAATACTGGAGTGAGTAGCCTTTCCCTTCTCCAGGGAATCTTCCCAACCTAAAGATTGAACCCAGGTCTCCCACATCCCAGGCAGATTCTTTTTTTTTTCTAAATTAATTTACTTTTATTGAAGGATAAATGCTTTACAGAATTTTGCTGTTTTCTATGAAGCCTCAACATGAATCAGCTATAGGTATACATATATCTCCTCCCTTTTGCATTTCCTTCCCATCTCCCTCCCCACTCCACCCCTCTAGGTTGATACAGACCCCTGTTTGAGTTTCCAGAGCCATACAGCAAATTCCCGTTGGCTATCTGTTTTACATATGTTAATGTAAGTTTCCATGTTACTCTTTTCATACATCTCACCCTCTTCTCCCCTCTCCCCATGTCCATAATTCTATTCTCTATGTTTATTTCTCCACTGCTGCCCTATAAATAAATGTTTACCATTTTTCTTGATTCCATATATATGCATTACAATATTTATGATTTGTATATATTTATATCATATAATTTATGATTATATGATATACAATATTTATCTCTCTGACTTACTTCACTCTGTGTAATAGGTTCTAGGTTCATCCACTTCATTAGAACTGACTCAAATGCATGCCTTTTTATGGCTGAGTAATTTCCATTGTGTGTATGTACCACAAATTCTTTATCCATTCATATGTAGATGGACATCTAGATTGCTTCCATGTTCTAGCTATTGTAAACAGTGCTGCAATGAACAATGGAATACTTGTGTCTCTTTCAATTTTGGTTTCCTCAGGGTATATGCCTAGGAGTGGGATTGCTGGGTCAAATGGTGGTTTTATTCTTGCTTTTTAAGGAGTCTCCATACTGTCTTCCATAGTGGTTGTATCAATTCACATTCCCACCAACAGTGTAAGAGGGTTCCCTTTTCTCCACATCCTCTTCAGCATTTATTGTTTGTAGACTTTTTGATGATGGCCATTCTGACTGGTGTGAGATGATATCTCATTGTAGTTTTTGATTTGCATTTCTCTAATAATGAGAGATGTTGAGCATCTTTTCATGTGTTTGTTAGCCATCTGGATGTCTTCTTTGAAGAAATGTCTGAGTCTTTTTCCCACTTTTGATTGGGTTGTTTTTCTGGTATTGAGTTGTATGAGCTGCTTGTATATTTTGGAAATTAATCCTTTGTCCGCAGGCAGATTCTTTATCAGCTGAGCCACCAAGAAAGTCCAAGCATACTGGAGTGGGTAGCCTATCCCTTCTCCAGGGGATCTTCCCAACCCAGGAATCATTTACTTAATTTTCCTGTCATTTAACTCAAAAATTTGCATTTCCTTGAACAAAATTAGCAATTTTCTCAATTTTCCGTCTATAGTTTTAACTTCTTTATGTTCAGATACCTGTGAGCAGCTACAAGCGGATGACACAATAATTGACACTACCCTGCCCTCTCCTTTGCAATCACAGCTTTCTTCACTCTCTCCCTGATACCTCTACTTGAATATTTAACAGTGTACCAGTTACAATTATCCAAAAGACAGCTAGTAGTTTTTCCTCCTCTGACACCTGCTATCTTCCAGGACTTTTCTGTCTCAATGAATGGAACTCCTATCCACGTAGTTGCTCAAACCAAAACCTAGATGTCACCCTGACTTCTTCCTTTCCCTCATACTTCCACACCTAACTCATCAGCAAGTCCCACAGACTCTGCTTCAAAAAGAAACCCAGGTTTTCCCTCATCCCCACTGCAGTTGGTCTTTAATCCAACTTTAATTCACTGAGTGCCTATGTGTGCTGGTCCCTCGCCAGGAGCCAGAGCACAGGAAACACAGAGAGAAAGCCCACCAGCACAGAACTCACACAAACCATGGCCATTTCTCAGAGAGACGAAAACAATGAGCTTTCTAAGGCGAGGCTTATCCCTCACCCTCATGCAAAACATTCAGGATACTCTCTCTACAATGGCCAGAGCAGTCTTTCATTGGCTTCCCATCCCACTTGTCACCAAGCCATCTTTACCACAGCTCCCCAAACTCCATGCCCACAAGTCTGTGGCTACTGTGCCAAAGCTACACCTGCTAGAAGTCCTCTGCAGGGCAGCTCTCCGTGATTGGAAAGCCCTCACCTGAGAGCATCAGGGACCTCAGCTGCTTCTCCTCGCTCAGGTCCCAGCTCAAATATGATCTCCGGGGCCTCCCCGACCACTCTTCCTTACATGGCTGCTCCCAAATACAGTGGCTTACAATGTCTTTTCAAGCCTTACAACATCTATGTTTTCATATCTGTCTGTCTGCCTTATTGGAATGCAAGCTCCACGTGAGACGGGATCTGTTACCTCTTCACCACTGGATTCCTAAGGCCTGAAGCAGATGTGGGGAGGGAAGCAGACAGGTAGGGAGGCAAGTGCACCCAAGGCCACAGCCTTGCCAGCTCTAACTGCTACTGATCACTCAGTCTCTAGAACCGGCTTTGATATCTTTCAGTACTCCATAAACTAGAAATGGCTAAGCATAGACATACACACAGAAGACTCATCATCTAGACAGCTACTTTCCTGTGTCATAAAATTAAACTATGCCACAGACTCTACAAGATGGAAACACCAAACTTTTTGTCTGACCTAAAAATAAAATCAAACACAAAACACTGAGAGTCTTTTCTCCTGTCACAGAAGAGAACCCGTATGTGTGGCAGCTAAACTCGACCTTTCTTGTTTTTACCCTTTTCATTTCTTCCTGTAGACAGGGGGTTGGAGGCTATTCTTCTGTGCTCACATAGCAGATTTTGGCTAAAAGTCTAAGAAGAGTCACAATTTAGTCCCTGGGTTACACGCCTGACCTCCCTAAAGGACTGAGATGGTAAGAATTCTCCCCATGGGAGAGCACTTATATTTTACTGTGATTTTAAAGTATATTTACTGTGACTTTTCAATGTCCAATAAGTGAAGAAATAACTGGTTCCATAGCTTTCCTGAACGAATCAATTAAAAAATATTATCTTGTTTAGAAATCACTGATCAACATTACAATGAATGCTCTGTACATAAACCGCAGAGAAAGCCACGAACACACTTACCTCTTCAAATCCCATTTCAAATAAACATTCAACAGCTCCTCTGACAGGCAAGAGTCGAGTAGAAAAAGTTGTGTTTCCAATCCGGATAGATCTGTATTTTTCATCATTAGGGTTTCTGATGGAAAAAAAAAAAGTCTGATTATATATAACAATTTATAATTTTCACCATGTTTTTACATTCTTTCTACGTTTTACACTGGCTATATCCCCTCAAGGCAGTACAGACTTTACAGACAGCCGGTGTGGAAGGACACCCTGATCTGGTGATTCTTCCCTCAGGGCACACTTAGCACAACATCACTGTTTACCTTCACAGCTGATCATATTAATGCTGCCAGGAGGGAAATACATGCAACTTTCTATTTCTGTGCTGTTAAAATTAGACACTGATGAGTTTTTCGGCTGCTAAGAAGAAAAACTCAAAAAAAAAAGAAGAAGAAAAAAGAAGAAGAAAAACTCATGCAAGCTCCAGACAGGGGAAGAAAGAAGTTTTGCCTGTTTTGTTCTGATGGATCTCAATCATCAAGAGTAACACCTGACATGTAGATGGTGTTAATAACTTATAGTTTATTAAAAATTAATAAATTCTTGTGAATGAATACAAGAAACTAAGAAGTTACATAAAAATGAACCAAAGTTCCTCAAATACTACTTCTCACAAACACGAACCTAGTTATAACTTAACAGGCATTTGATTTTTCTTCCTTCCCTAGGCCAATGGTTGTTTTTACTACAAGTCTTGTTTCAGCTCAAGATATATTTTTGTCAACAATAAGTATGGTAATAATATAAAATGAAGATTTGAATTTCTTTTACAATCATTAAGATTTTGAATATTACACATGGGATGAGACCAGCACATGAAACATCTTTGAGATTTTTAATAATCTTGATAAACCAGAAAGATTGTTAGAAAAAAAAAAGGTTAAAGACAATCATGGTATTTTACTCAAAAAAGGCCTTCTGAACATAATTCAGGATAAGCAGGTTTCACATCTGACAGTGACACTTTAAAAATGGTGGAACTTAAAGTGTTAGTCAGCTCTATGTGATCGCATGGGTTGTATGCTCTGCCCATGGGATTCTTCAGACAAGAACGCTGGGTCGCCACTCCCTTCTCCAGGGGATACTCCTGCCCCAGGGGTCACATCCAGGCCTCTGCACTGCAGGCAGACTGCTAACCGTCTTGCGCCACCAGGGGAGTCCGATGACAGTGGCCTCCATCAGCACAACATTAAGGTTGCTGTGGCTGCGCCAGGTGTCCACAGAGGAAGTCCCGAGGCCATCAGTCTGGGGTCTGGAATGGCGGGGTGGCCAAATGCTAGCAGATAACCAGTCACCTTAGTCCTAAACTTACACATGTTCTCTAGATACTGTGGTATAAAAACAAAACCAAAACAGGTATTTTTAATTGTGGAAGTTTCAACAAATTTCACATTTGTTTTCCATCAAGCAGCTCCTGTTGCCAAACTGTCATAAACACTACATGAAACTTTTTTTAAAACCTCTTTTCCTTAATTTCAAAAACTACACAAGTTTATTACAAAATATTCAGAGACAAAAGCTCTAAAATAGTGTTAAAGTGTCCAGATTGGTGCTAATCTACTCTTTGCTATTCATCCATGAGGAATACAGAAATTGAGAGCATTCAGTTATTATTACAGTAACTTGACATTGCCATGCAATTTTCATTGTATTTTACAAAAGTGATAGGTCCACAAAGGATTGGAAGTTAAAAACAAAAGCACTATTCTTCATTGCAGGTCATCTGAAAATGACTGTCATAAAATGACAGAAACACAAGGAGAGACAAGTGCCTTACTATTTTATTCTGTGTATTAGATCTGAGTTTCTAAGTCTTGGCAATACTGACCTTTGGCCTTTGTTGTGGGAGCTGCCTGGGCACAGCAAAACGTTTAGTGTCCCAGGCTTCTCTGCTACACTAGGTCACAAGCGTGCCACTCTTCCTTACAATGTAAACATGAAACGACAGCATAACCGTACCTTTATCAAAGCTGGTTACAGATAAATGAGGCATCTTTTCATGATTCTCAACACATCCCACAGGGTGATAAACAAAGCAGTACCACCAGGATGGTACATTCCACTGGTGCAAAAGTGCCAGAGCTCTTAATCTACTTTTTCCCAACAGTTCCCAGATTTCTACATAATCAAAGTCTTTTATTGCGCTTAATTTTCTAATTTTTCTTCCCCTTTCCACTAGTGTTTAAAAATTCTTATAAAACTTACATGAGCCGTTCTGATACAGCTTATTATTTTGATGTGTTTCAAAGTAACTGTCGATGCAGCATCTTTGATATGGGCTTTGTATAGTTTAGATTTTCCTCTCTAGCATCTAGTAGGCAATTTCCTATCTTTGTACACTATCTATGAACCTCATATATTATTCATCTGTTTTTCTTATTCAACACATATTGCAAACAAAAAAAATGGCAATAATGTCCAGTTACCCAAATATCTTCCTCTTTTAAAATGTGTTGAGCAGACCAGCCAGAGTAGTGAGTATAGACTGATGTGAAAATCAACCTCTGAAGCCCTCAAAGGCTTAGAGAATTTGGCTCCAGGACCTTCAGGTCTCCAATCCATCAACTCCCATTTCCTGCCTTTGGAAAAGCGCCACACAGACACAGACACAGACAGAGACACACACAGACACACACACACGCCTAGACATCTAGCTTCACAGTTTAAGCCTTGTGCAGCCACTCTCCTTGAGCTCATTACTATTCTCCTTACCCGGTGGCATCTAAAGCAGCCCTAAGGATCACCTTCAGTTTTGTCTGATCTTCCGTTAATTCTCTACAGATTTTTCTCAAATTTTTTGTGCTATAACTCTTTGATGTTTTTCTTCCTATCTCTGCTGACCATTAATTATTTCTATGACTTCCAGTATTTATCTTGCTGATTAGCAATTATTTTGTACCTTAGCTTGAGGTTTCTTCTGGTTGCTGGATGATGCTGTTGAAGAGATGAGGCTTGAAAGGGCAGCAAAATTTCCTGAATCTTACTCAACCGTCACTCTGAACACATTTTGGTGTCTTGTGAGTTGTCTTACCCACAGGTATCACCAAATTGTTTCATCTATAGAAAAATTAGTCTTTGTATTTACAACTAATCCCTTCATGTATCACACAACCTGGTTGTAGCAATGGATCTTGCATAACTCAATGAAGCTGACTCATGCCACGCAGGGGCACCTAAGACAGATACGTCATAGTGGAAAGTTCTCACAAAACGCGGCCGCTGTACACAGTTCAAGAAGCAACAGTACTGGACATGGAACTAGTCCAGTGGACTAGTTCAAAATTGGGAAAGGAGAACGTCAAGGTTGTATATTGTCACCCTGCTTAATTTATATTCAGATAACTTCATCTGCATGTCGGGCTGGATGACTCACAAGCTGGAATCAAGATTGCTGGGAGAAGTATCAATAACTTCAGACCTGCAGATGACACCATTAATGGCAGAAAACAAAGAGAAACTAAAGAGCCTCTTGATGAGGGTGAAAGAGGAGAGTGAAAAAGCTGTCCTGAAATTCAACATTAAAAAAAAAAGTAATGAGATCATGGCATCTGGTCCCATCACTTCATGGAAGACAGAAGAAGAAAAAGTGGAAACAGAGACAGAGTTTATTTTCTTGGGCTCCAAAATCACTGTGGACAGTGACTGCAGCCATGAAATTCAAAGATGTTTGCTCCTTGGAAGGAAAGCTATGACAAACCTAGCCAGTATATTAAAAAGCAGCGACATCTCTTTGACAATAAAGGTCTATACAGTCAAAGCTATGGTTTTTCCAGTAGTCACGTACGGATGTTGGACCATAAAGAAGGCTGAGTGACAAAGAATAGATGCTTTCAAATTTCAGGGCTGGAGAAGACTCTTGAGAGTCCCTTGGACTGCAAGAAGATCAAACCAGTCAATCCTAAAGGAAACTGATCATGAATATTCATTGGAAAGACTGATACTGAAGCTCCAATACTTTGGCCGCCTGATGAAAAGAGCCTACTCATTGGAAAAGACCCTGATGCTGGGAAAGACTGAAGGCAGGAGGAGAAGGGGGCGGCAGAGAATGAGATAGATGGTTAGATAGCATCACCGACTCAGTGGTCATGAATTTGAGCAAACTCTGGGAGATAATGGAGGCCAGAGGAGCCTGCTGACTTAGCAACTGAACAACAATTTACAACTGAGTGGTAGGAAAAAGCCCTACTTTTCACCCTAAAAGTCATAATCAATCGTATTTCTAAGATTTTAAGACATGTTAGCAAAAAGCCTCCCACTGAGTCACAGCTTTTCTTTCCTCAGAAAAGGAAAACTTAAATGTTTCTGCTTCAGAATTTCTGAAATGCTAGGAATTAAGTATATTTGAGCAATTTACTTGTCCTCTTCTTCTTTGGAATGCACAATCCCAAAAAGACTTCTCACAAACGGAAACATAGTACATGAGTGCATTCTATAATCTTGTATTTTTATCACTGATCACAGAAGTCATTTTGTAGGTCATTTGAAACACTATTTCCTAGTCCTTCTGAAAAACTTATTCTTAAGTACAAGTAAAATTTCAAAAACATCTCTCTGCCTTTAGAATCATCTGGGAACCATCTCTGGCTCTAACTTTACCATTCTCTGTAGCTGACAACATGGGAAACATGTGCACATAACCCAGCTTAACATGAAAACCTGAATGAGAAAAACAAACAACATGTGTGCCATGTCCTTTATTTCTTTCTTTCTTCTGCGACAGTTTTATAATTTAAGTATTGTTCTTTCCTGTTAACACATAGTTGACCAGGGGATTTTTGTAGAAACTAACACCAGTGGCCAATGATTTATGTAGCTGAGCACTGAAACACTCTGGTCAATAACATCTGGGTAACAAAAGATGTATTAATACATCTCTGGTCAATAAGTTGTTAAACATGAGGAAATTGATACCCAGAGTTTACATAAATCACCTATAATCACATTCCTAGAAAACAGCTGATAGGGACTTAAACCCACTCACTGGTTTGATTACAAACACTCTCCACTATACAGTTGCCAACAAACTCATCCATTCTCCATTAACTGCCTGGCTTAGTTTCTCCAGGTGTCAGTGGTAACCCAGATGAGAAATCCGAAGTTATTTCAGGCGTTCTGTCTTCTCCCATTACCAGCTGTACCCCTGGCACTCAGTCATCAAGGATTGCCAGTCCTCGCCTACAACTGTCTCTCCATTCATCCAGTTACACACATGCTGATTGCAACAACTTCAGACGTGAAACCCATGCCTTCTTACATCATCATTCTACACGAATCTCTCATTATGCTCTGAGTCTAGAAACTACAAGTGCTTTCTGTTGCATATCACGTCAAATATATGTCATCTTATCAAACCTTTCTTCTCAAAACCGTTCCACATCAGGTCCCTGCTATCTCCTCTCATATAAATATGTAAGCGTTTAAACATCATCCTCAAATTGTCCTCCAGATATTATGCTATGGCTATTTTCTGTATCTCTGTCTTTCTCCTAAACATATTTTCTTTGAAGAAAGAAACCACTTTCCATTCTTAGCCCTTCCCAATCATACCCAGTGCAGTTCATAACCAGTAACTATGTGCAGTTTGCAAAGGAAATTAGTGGGAAATAAAATTTTTTTAAAGAATGAATGAAGCAAATTTTCCAGGGAGCCCATGTGGAATGTTAGTAAAACTATTACAGATTCTTGAAAGGTAGATACTGAGGACAGTGGATTTTTATCAAGAAGTTAGTGAACTGAAAAAAATGGTTCTAACTCATGGTATATTGTGCATGCAAATTAGCATATACTTCATTCTATAATTTCACGAGCTTTATGACTCTTAGTTGGGGAACAGGATAAGCATAATCTGAAGCAGAAATTTAAAATTTAAACCAAAGTATTATTTTCACCTGTGTGCAGTGACAAATATTGCTATTTAAAGACAAACTGCAAATAAAATTCTCATTTCAGCATTCACCCTATAAAATATCTCTAAGGTTAAAGGATTTCCTAAAGCATCAAAACAAACAGAAAACTGGGGTCTCCTCTGTTCTCTAGCATATCTGTAGTGCAGAAAGGCTAAGGACTCAAGAGGTCTGGGGCTTTTCTGTTAACAAGCAAGCTAGTAAATGGACTTGGAAGGGGAAGAAAACGTGGCTCCCCCCCACCAAGATCAAAGGAGTTTGAACTGTAAGAATATGAGAACGGGGAACTAATATTACTACTTAAAACAAACTAGAACAGATAGTTTTTCACACCATCTCCACCTATATGAGTTCAACTTCTAACTTCTTTTTATAGACAAACATTTTTTAAGATAGAAAACATAAGCCACGGTAAAGACTGTAACATACAAGAACAGCATGCCAAGTTTCTTCTATGAGTTTGGTAAACATTCATAGTGATAACTGTGATGCAAAAGGATTTCCTTCCTCACAACACCTTGATCTCAGCATCTGTGGTTTCACTGGGTTGAAAACAGAAGTGAATCCTCATTGTAAGGCCAACTCCCTGTTCCCAATAACGGGGTTGAACAGCTGGGTGGCTCCCCAGGCGGGAGGTCCCTGCGGCGGATGGGCTCTGGAGAACTCTGCCTCGGGGTTCACTCAGGGCAGAATCCTCCTGCATCGGCCTTGAGCTCCGAAGAGCTGTTTGACCTCCTGGGGTAGGGAAATCGAGCCGAGAAGGTGTCACAGAGGAAGGAGACAGCCCCCACATAGGTCACAATCGTGCCGCGGTGCACACCGCACCCCTCGGAGCAGCTGGCTCAGGACAAGGGCTCCATGTGTTGTTCCTTCGCTTCACCTGTAAAGTCATCAAGCGGACCTGTATGAAGGGCTTCCCTGCTGGCCCAGCTGGTAAAGAATCCACCAACGGATGAGGGAGACCTGGGTTCGATCCCTGGGTCGGGAAGATCCCGTGGGGAACGGCTCCCCATTCCAGTATTCTGGCCTGGAGGATTCCATGGACTGGATAGTCCCGTGGGGTCGCAAGGAGTCGGACACGACTGAGCGCCTTTCACTGAGCATTGAAACTGCCATGGCTTAAAACACTGCACTCGCAGCTAACGTCTCCAAAATCAGGTCACGTGAAATCTAGAGCCTTGAAGCTGAGAGGGAATCTCCTTTTCAGACTTCACGCCAACACACAGCGCACCAGGGGCCGAGGCGGGGGAGGGACGGAGGGGCAGGCGGAGCCTTCACGGGCGCCTCTCTGCCCCCCACCTCAGGTGCCCTCTGCCCCTCACCTCAGGTCCCTCTGGGCACCACGTGGTGGGAGCTAAGAGACGAGGGAAGTCGTCCAAACTCCACTTCCCGACGCCCCCAAGCCGCGAGGTCCCTCGAAGGTCTGGGGGTGAACAAAGCGCCCCCAGCGAGGGCTGCCCTCGCGGACACGACGGCGGCGTGAGGGTGCCCGCAAGACGCCGACCGGAGAACGGCGCGCCCCTGACGAACTTCTCAGCCGCCTGTGGCAGCTGAAGGTGCCCGGCGGGTAAAACACCCGCGGGGGGCGTGAGACGCTTGTGGCCGCTTCTGTCCGGACTCGGAAGACAGTTCAACGGCCGGAGCCCCGGGCGCGTCTCCCCGTTCCCGCCCCGCGCGACGCCAGGGGTCAGGTCAGGACACCGCCTCCCCTCGGGCGGGGCTGGGCGAGCCGGGTCTCCGTCCTGGGGGCCCGGGACGGGCGACCCTTCCCCCGCTCCCGGCACCACCGGCCGGGCGCCCCCCAAGCCCTGGCCGAGCGGGGGCCGCGCCCCGCCTGCCGTCCGCGTCCCCCAGCGGCCCGCACCTGAGGATGTTGTCCGCGTAAGTGAGCAGCAACCTGGAAGCCTCCAGGAACGTCTCCGGGGTGTTCTGGCAGAGCTCGGCCACAGCCGGGGACGCGGAGCCGGCAGAGCCGCCCAGCGCCGCCGCCGCCGCCGCCATGCTCGAGCGCGGCTGAGCCCCGCCCCGCGCCGTCCGCTCCCGCCCCGCGCCGCGCGCGCTCTGAGCAGGCGCCCCGGCGCGCCGCGCCCGCGGCCGGCCCGGAGGGCGGGGGGAGGGGAGGGGGGGGAGGGGAGGGGCGGGGAGGGGAGGGGCGGGGAGGGGAGGGGAGGGGAGGGGAGGGGAGGGGCGGGGCGGGGAGGGGAGGGGCGGGGGGGGCAAGGGCGGAGCAGGGGCGGGGAGGGGGGGCAGGGGCGGGGAGGGGCGGGGCTGGCCTTCAGGTGCGGGTCGTCTAGGCGGGGCTGGGGTCTTGTCCCCGCCTGCTGGGGTCTGTTGGGGAGCTTCGAGGCTTTGGGCCGAGAGAAACCTGGTGGTCAGGGCCCAAGGATCTTCGACCAGACGGGGATGGGGTCTTGATCGTCCTGAACAAGGGGCTTTGCCCAGGGGTGTTGGGCGTCCCTAGTGGCTCAGCTGTAAACAATCCGCCTGCCATGCAGGAGAGGCGAGTTCGATCCCTGGTTTGGAAGGTCCCCTGGAGGAGGAAATGGCAACCCACTCCAGTATTCTTGCCTGGAGAGTCCCATGGACAGAGGAGTCTGGCGGGCTGCAGTCACTGGGGTCCTACAGTCTATGGGGCCGCAGAGAGTCGGACACGACTGAGTGACTTGGCAGCAGCAGTAGCAGTCTGGTAGTGGTAGCTTCCAGTAAACGAGGTCAGATGTGTGATCTCTGAAGATTTAGCTTCGGGACCAGGGACCAGGTTTGATCACTCAAGAGCTTCTGTGTAACAGTTTCATTAAAGTATGAAAAGGGACAGAGAAGGTTTCTTATCAACCTGCCTAGGAATTAACTCAGTAGTCTGGGCCAGGGGTTGGGTGGAAGGGCTGGCACAGGGGGCCGCGGGCTTTGCAGAAACCTGGGTTCCTCTGTGTCCCAAGGCCAGCCTCAATAGATCCAGCCAAGACAGTGGGGAAACTCCTTGTACTCCAAATGCCAGCTTTTTCCCAAATGAAAATATCTTACAGCATCCTCCTCGCAGGTTGTCAGGCCTTCCTAGATAAATGGGGGTGAAAGACCCCAGGAGAAAGGAGCAAGCAGTTTTCAAAACCAAAGGCATGGCTATGAACTCTGCTGGGATTCCCCTCTATGGATTCCTTTTAGAACTAGATAAATGACTGAAAATCTCTTGCATCATTCCCAGCCCAGATAGTATGATGTTTCTGTAAAGAAGTGTTTTGAAACTGCAGGTTGCAGGTGGTGGACTCTATTGACCAAAATAAAACACAGACCCAATAGTGACAGAATAGGATAGAGGGGAAAGGAGAGACAGCAAGTTATGCATCCCATATAGTAAGGGTGTGTATCAATTTGTGACTTTGTTGGGCAGGTAGAGGCTGTGATGAGTGTCCTTTATTCCTCTTAGAAGATGGATCCTAACCTCTTTAATCCATGCTCTGCCTCTCCATGTCTTTGAAAATGTGCTTTACCAACAATGCCTCCTTTCTTTGCAGAAATTCCTTTCCAAATCTCAACAAATATTGTTTATTGACGATAGATTTTAAAGGTAAGTTTTTGTCTAAGTTTCTTTAAATATTCTTGATGCTTTATCTTCAGTTTGGTTCTTAAGTTCGAAATTTTCTTCCAGTATCTCTGAACAAGTCCTTGAGCTATACTACCCACTTCAATTATTGTTCAATTGGCAGATACATGTGAGATTTTGATAAATATGTAATATTTGTATATTAATAAATATAATATCCTTGGACCAGGTTCCAAGAATGGTGTAACTGATAATTTGTTGTTAGCTGCTGTAACTAAAGATTCCCATGATTTAACATAAGAAATATCTTTCTTGTGCACACAACAGTTTAACGATGCAGTTCTCATTTGTCAGTTCCTCCGTGTAATGATTCAGGGCCCCAGGCTCCTTTCATCCCACAGCATAGAGATCAACAAACATTTTTTATAAAGGGCCATATGCATGCATGCTCCGTCGTTCAGTTGTGTCCGACTTTTTGCAACCCATGAGCTGTACCCTGCCAGGCTCCTCTGTCCATGGAATTTTCCAGGCAAGAATACTGGAGTGGGTTGCATTTAGTAAATGTTTAAGGCTTTCTGGCCATAGGATCTCTGTTTCAACTGTTTAACTACTCTGCCTCTGCAGCAAACAGTAGAGTTTGCTCTTAACACCCCTAACATGGGGTGTTGGGGTGAACAGCATGGGGTGTTATGGTCACCAACACTCCCTGGCAGTCAAATTCTGTGAATAACATCCTCTGTATATATGTGAGGTTCCACTGTAGCTCGTAGATCATACTGAGTGGTTTTGAATCTGAGGATTTAACCAACAGCAGACCATGTAGCACTGTAGCATTTAATATTGAAAAAAATCCATGTATTAAGTGAACCCAGGCAGTTCAAACCCATGTTGTTCAAGGGTCAGCTGTACTTTAGAATGAATGGGTATGGTTAGGTTCCAAAGAAACTATTTACAAAAACAAGCAGCCTTCTGGATTTAGCTTGTGGTTTGTTAACTACTGCTATATGGCCTCAGAGACTTCTGCATTTACTTAGTGGCTGGCACAAAGAAGGCATATCTGCTTCATAGGCCCAGAAATGACAAACAGCGTTTTCTTTACTGTATCACTGGTGAAAAGGAAGCCCCAACTAGGTAAAAGTCGGCCGGGGTTGGGGAGGGTGGGAGGCTGGGAAATGTAGTCCTTAGCTGGACAGGGAGCACCCACAACCTTCAAGCAGGGAGGATGGGGGTGGTGGTTGGGGTTGTGATTAACTGTCTCCATCACAAACTGTATTCCCCTGGAGTTTCTTTTTCCATTAACTTATTTATTCTATAATAATCACATAAGGTTACCATATACTATCTAATAGTTAGAATTTTTTTTTTAAAGATCTAGAACACCTTTTTTTTTTTTCCCCAAATAAAATCTTAAGAGAAAACCTAGTATATATAAAACACCAAAGTGGAGGCACTCTAGGATTGAAGCAGGAATGCATATGTGGTGTGAGGAGGAACAAAGTATTATCAACTCAGCTTTTCCCTTGACAGGTGTTGGCCTTGTGAGTGCTTCTGTGGGAAACATGCAATCACAGTGTGAAAACCAGTGCTACAAAATTAATGCTATTATAATATCATACAGTCCATAAAGTCATAAAAATCCCCATTCCAAGGGTAATTCACTGAGTTACTGTTTATTTTAATTCATCTGAAATTTTAATCCTCCCCAATTACTCTTTACTTTGAGTAACTAAAATCTCTCTAGGATACCATTTATGGAGCTATTAAGGAATTTATTATAATAAGGGACTTGACTCATTCTTTTCCTTGTCTGCTTCTTCTACTTCCGTAAGTTGAAAATATTTTGATTTTTCAGTTTCCTGTAGAAAAATCAAAGATATTAAGCTACTCTTAATTTCTTTATACCCACCACTGCTTCAAACACATAAAAGGATATTCTAGTTTAAATCAGGTTTGAACTTTCTGTTCTTTCACTTGATTTTTTTTTTTTTTTTGCTTCAGAATAATGAATTTCCTTTTAGGATTCCAGCTTTATTAAGAACACCATCTTTAGGTGACATATGACATATGGTGGCACCATTCTTAGATGAAATAAAGATATGACTCACTAAAATTTCCCTGGGACAGGTTTTGTCATAAAAAAATGAAAATGTTGACCTAAATGAAGACTACTGGCAAGGAGAAGCCTTTCAGGAGTATGTGATGATTCACTATTGTATGATCGTATTATGTATGTAACCGATTTACTATTTATTGAGCACACACTTGAGCATCCTGAGATGAATGACATTAAGAAACATTTAATCTAGTAGGAAGGACAGAATGAATAATAATACCTTATACACAGATAGCTGTTCAGTTGATGAAACAAAGTCACTGTGAAAAAACAATTTGGTAAGAAATGTGCAAAGTGGTGTATGCATATGCGTATGTGTTTATTCATTCATTCTGTAATTCATTCACTCACCAAATAGTTATGCAGTGGCTACTAAAGGTGCTGTGCTGCACACAACCAGTGGCGATGAGAACGGGCCCGCTGTCTTCACAGGAGTCCCAGTGAGTCCGCTCACTGGTTGGACCGGCAGCAGCATCACCAGGGAATTCGTCAGGATGTTCTCAAGCCCCGTCTTTTTTTTTTTTTCATAATTTTACTTATTTTTGGCTGTGCTGGGTCTTCATTGCTGCGCAGGCTTCTCTCCGGTTGTGGCAAGTGGGGGCTCCTCTCTCATTGCGTCGTGCAGGCTTCTCCTTGCAGGGGCTTTTCTTGTTGCAGAGCACGGCTCGAGGGTGCTCGGGTCTCAGCAGTGGCGGCTCATGGGGCCTAGAGCACAAGCTCAGTAGTGTGGCACACAGGCTGAGCTGCTCGGGGGCACACGGGATCTTCCCGGACCAGGGATTGAACCCCTGTCTCCTGCATTGGCAGTCGGATTCTTTGCCACTGAGCCACCTGGGACGCCCTCAAGCCCCATCTTTACAGGTGAGACCCAGCAATCTGTGCAGTAAGCCTTTCAGGTGCCCAGTAAAGTTTGAGAAGTATTCATTTAGAGGAAGGAAGATTCCACTGTCACTGAAGTTTCATGGAAGAGAATGAATTTGAACAGAACCCTTAAATTTGTAGGTTAATGGGGTGGGGAAGGGGCGAACATCCCTGCTGTGGGAGATCACCCCCCCCACCCCGCGGGGCCCCCCCCACTTAAGGACAGCATCCTCGCGACCTCTCCTCCTTTCCATTGCCCTAGTTCAGGCCCCACCAGTTCGCACTCTCTTCCCCACTGCCCTTCCCACGCCCTCCAGCCCCCTGCACATACTGCAGTGATGCTCTTTCTAAACCACCCCTCTGATCATGTTATTTTTGTGCTGAGAAGTCTTCTGTGGCTACCCCTTGCCCACATGTAACCGAGCAAGACCCCTATAAAACCTTCCTGGAATAGACCTCCCCCACCCATGTCCTCCACCTGCCTTTTGT